CCATAAATATTAGGAGTTTATCATTCATTTAATAATTTAAGTTGTATAGAATAATATAATTCGAATTATACAATTTTTTTATTTAAAAAATATATGAGAAGAAAATATTACATACTAAGAGCAGTCAAGAAAAAAAAATTTTAAATACCAACTTTACCCTTTTTTATTTTTATATTGAAATAAACATATCAAATTTGTCTTTTAACTTTCCTAAAAAATGTGTAAAAAATTTTCTCATACAAAACGCCACATAAATTTTTGGGGAATGATGCATGTAATTATCAGTTCGGCACCTAGCGATACATACTCTATAAATCAAATATATTATAAAAGTAAAATTATAAATTTACTCTTAAAGCCATATTCTTCCTCACAAAACCTATTTTCCAAATGACAACAAGAACAAATCGTTTGAATCCCAACAAAACTCAATTAAGCATTCAAGTACCAAATCAAAATCTTGAGCAAGTTTCCTAAATGACAACAACACCAAATCAATGAAAATTAATTTCCAAATGACAGCAACACCAAATCTTGAGGAAGAGTTCATTTTCTCAAAATATCATCCTCAATTTAGCCCATGATTTTGTAGCCCATTAAACACATAAAATAGGTCTATTTTTGGGATGATATAGCAAAAAGTGGAGGGCATGTAAGTGGAGCCAATTGGTAGAAAAGGGAAAAGAAAACAGGAGAAATTTTTGCAATTTTGGTACTCTGTGTAGCTTTACTATTTTGTCCGATCTGCAAAAGTTCACCATTGGATTGGGCTAAAATTTTGTCTAAGTGTTCAAGAGACATTTATCTATATTCTAAATGGTTTTTCATTTAGAACTTTATAGGTTCTAATTTTGTACTCAAAACAATAGCTTGTTTTTGGTGATTTGTTTTTCTTATGATCCCATTTTCTTTATCAATTTGTGATCTATTATTACTCTTATTTGGTGCTGGGTTCATGAAGAACCCAGGTGTATGAACCTAGATCTAGATTCAATTTAAACTTAGATTTAGGTTCAATTTGAACCTAGGTGTTAAGGAACTTGTTTGTTTTCAGTAGGTAGAAAGAGAGGGAAGAAGAAAGGGAGGGGGAAGAAAGTTGAGAAACTAGTGTTGAACTGTTGAAGAGAGAGATGGAAAGATAGGAAGAAAAAGGGGTATTGTGAGGAAGAATATAGTTTTAAGAGTAAATTTATAATTTTACTTTTACAATCTGTTCGGTTTATGGAATGGCACCATTAGATGTCAAATTGCCAAGTGTCAAATTGGTGGGTGCATAAATAATTCTCCTAAAATTTTTGAATGGAGATTTGTGCAATTTCATTATAAGAATCAAATGGTTTTCTCATCAAATAGGAATGATATGACAAATTGAAAACCACTAAAAATATCCTACATTTGTAATTCTAATTACAATAGACATATTGACAAAGGTCCACCAAAAAAGGTTATACTTAAAATTTAAGCAAAGCCACTAGACATATTGCTTATTTTCAACTCAAGAAATTTGGAACCTAAAAAAGATTTTTATTTTTGTATCAATAAATATAATATCATCAATGATAAAAAATGTTGACAAATATTATTACTCCATACCATCTTTTTTATAAATATATTTATTATATGCCTTTAAATACAATTAATTTAATTTTATAATTTATGCTTTACTGAATAAGTCATGAAACTTATTAAAAAAATTAATAATTTAAAGTTAATATTAAAAACTTTAACTTAGAGTATCAAACAATTAATTTTTATTTTAAAAAACTAAAAAGATTATAAAAAAAAAAGTCATGACCATTCAGCGGGTCAATTATCAAACTCCATAGGTAGAGTATCTTTTAGTTTCACATTTTTTTAATGAGGTTTTTTTTTTTTTTTTTTTTTTTTTGTGACAAAGGGCATGAAAGTTGAAAACCAAATTCTAAAAGTATATTTACCCAATTAAAATGAAAGTAAATAAAATGCACGAGAAAATGGGAATAATAACAATAATACCTAATGGACTAAAAAATTAATTAACAAGAAAACTATAATTAACAATTATCTGTTAAAAAATTATTAATCCACCGACTTCTTGTTTCCATGTACAACCACATATTCATAAAAAAAATAATAAAATTATAAAAACAGAACAACGCGAAATTCCCCAAAAACAAAAAAAACAAAAAAATATTACATTTCTTGTTCTCAAATCTTAATTCTGATCATCAGAAAGTCCACTTCCAGATCTTGATCCTCAAATCAACCTCACATTTCATATTAGAAATGGAAGCCGTCGTAGCCGTTTTCCCCGCCGGAACAGTCGCCGTAATCCCTTCACAAGAGACCCTAACGCCGACTTTCGGAATCTTCAAGCCACCCATCTTTCCTTTCACCTTAGTATCCAGCTTTATCTTCAATGCTATGCCATTCTTGCTCTTCAAGTACGTCTTCAGTTTCGAAGCCGACGAATCGTCGAGTGCTTGGTTGGTACCAGTAATCGCCGCTTTCAGCAGGGTGGTGTTCTTGGTGGGATGAACGAAGGATGGGAACGAACCGTCGCCGATATCGATGTCGTCTGCAGTAGTGACGGTGACGGAGAAGGGGTCGTAGGTGTAGACCAATTTCTTGTTGGGGTTTTTAGCAGTCATGTCTAGGTTCATGTTGGTGTTGAGTTTGGTGATGGAGGTGGAGGTGGAGGTGAGGTTGAGGGTGGAGATTTTGAGGGAGGATAAGGAGAATGAAGGGCGGTGGGGGCGGTAGATGACGTAGAGGGTGGCGCCAGCGATGGCCGCTAGGACGAGCATGAGGAGGATTATGAGGGTGAGCCAGAGGCAGAAGGAGCAACAACGGGAGCGGCGGGGGCGCGGGCTGGTAGATTGTGGACGGTAGAGGGGACGGGTATTGGCACCGTAAATTTGGGATTTGGTGGCAGGGAATGTGGGGTTGCTTGCCGCCGCGGTGGTTCCGTTGGCCCCGGCGGGTTTGGATGAAGGGTAGATTCTGTCGGTCATGGTGGAAGAGGGGAAAGGAGGGAAATGAAGATAACGGAGGAAGAGGGAATTGAGTCTTAGTGGCAAAAAAATGGTGTTTATAGGAGAAACGTAAGGAGGGAGACAGCGAAGGTGGAACTAAAACCAATAGGAACGGCACACGAGCGTTATGGCGCGTGGTGAAAGCGTAAGTTTGGGAAAGATTCTCCTTAATTATTGTGAAAAATGATTTAAAATTTTTTTTATAATTTTTAATTTAATAATTAATTATTTTATTTTATTAAAATTTATAATATTATATATATTTTTTAATGATATATAAAAATTTTAAATAAAAATTATGAAAATATTATAATTACAATATTACGTGATGATGTAAATGTATAATATAATATGTTATTATATAATTAATTTTTTTATTTAAGTATGTGATATTATATATATCTATTTATTTAATATCACGTATAACAACTAAAGTATGATCGTAAAATTTACATAAATAAATTATTAGCAAATTATTACCTTAACCTTTGAAATAACATGCATAGATAAATAAAAATAATTTATTTATAATATTTTTTATTAAATTCTTTTATCATAATTTTAGGTGACATTGTTTATAGCTATATTTTCTAGTTGACACGTGTAAATTATAATACCTATAGCTATTGTAAAATTTTATTATAAGAAGTAATTTAAATTAATTTTTTTTGTTAGCAAATAATGTGAATCAATAATTCTATTTAGAAAGTGACCATGGATTCTTTGAGTTCAAGCATTCACTAAGTGACATGAGACATTAAACCACACGTACCATTTCAATTTCAAATCAAAGTTTTAATTAAGATCAAAATCTAAATTTCAAGTGGACAATAACTCATAGTATTTTCTTCCATTTTTAACAAAAAGAAAAAAAAAAGGTACGCGGGTTGATTGAGCCGTGAAATACACGCCTTCTTTATGAGAGTGGACGTGCCATCTCTCCAACCGAAACTGACATCTCCGCGCCACCCACCGAACTGAGGTTTGGACTGTTCCTTCCGTCGATCTCAACTCTTAAATTTTAGTAAGGTTAAACCCCAATTTAGCCCCTTAACTATTGTATGAACCCTAAATTTGTCCCTTTTTAAAAACTTCTTGGTTTGGTTACTTCTGTTTACCATTTTAGCACCAACTTGGTCTTTTCATTCAAAATCCACCTGTGTCCTATTACTTGACGGAAAAAAAATGACATATAAAAGTATCTTGACACATAGGATGTATAGCATGGCAAAAGCAATGACATGGTAAGAAAAAACCTTAAAAAATTTCCTTTTCCCATTTTTTTTTCCTCCTTTGATTTTTTTTTTTCCCCTTTCTTCCTCCTCTTCCTTTCTTTTTGCCTTCTGCAAACCCTAACACCTTCTAATATTAAATCCAAAGATAACACAAACATAAACCCAAAATCTCTCCAAAATAGTTATCAACCCTAAATTCTTTCTTTTAGCCTACCAAAAACCCAGAAATCACAGTATCTTCTCCCAAATTTCTAAAACACACACACACACACACACACACACACACAACTAAAACATTTTTCGAATCTTTCAAACCCAACAGATCGTTGGGCTCAACTGTTGGCTTCCAGACCCCCAACAGATCTACAAATCATTGAGTTCGATCGAACCCACCCAGCATATGTGCTAGGTTTGATTTAACTCAGCGAATCTGCTAGGTTTCAAACCCCTAGCAAGCCTCAAAGGATGAAGAATTATTGAGGAAAAAGTTTAGATGGAGAAGATGAGATGAAAAAAGAGATTATGAAGAGATGAGAAGAGAAGATGATTAAAACCCAAGCCAACAAAAAAGGATCTAGGGGAAGAAGATGAACAACAAAAGAGGTTGGAGATGAAAAGTACGGGGTAGTGAAAGGAGAAAGGAAGGAAAGTGATGTGTAGTTGAAGATGAGGGTAAAAACGTAATTTTAACTTTATAATTAGTTTTATAATTTAACCTTTAATTTTTAATTAGAAATTACATGTCAAGAATTTTTTGATCACATTGTCAATCCTACATATAAAAATACTTTTACATGTCATCTTTTTCTGTAAAGTAACGGGACACGTAAACGGATTTTTAACAAAAGAACCAAATTGGAGTTTAAATGGTAAACAATAGGACTAAATCAAGGACTTAATCAGGGACTTTTTTAGTTTAGAGACCAAATTAAGGGTCTATATAATAGTTGAGGGACCAAAAATGAAGGTTTAACCTTTTAGTAATTAATGTTCTGTTCTGTTACCAACCTTTGAACCGATGACCAATGACTAAAGCATTCTTAAACGAATTACTTTAGCCAGCAGGCCAATGGAAGGCTGGTTGTAAATGTTAAAACAATGGGAGGCTCAACGTCAGCTCTAGGCGTGAGGGTCCCATGTGCCACGTAGGACTAGTCAACAATTAGTTGTTTGACCTAAAAAATTCCAATGATCAAGAAGCCTTGTAACGCATCATTTAAATTTAATAATTCATCCTCAAATCTTAGTATTTGAGTAGAGTTGGTGGAGAATTTGATTTCCATCAATTACTTGATCACCTGCACTTGACCTATTGGACTATAGGTGTTTCTCTCAACTTATGAGTTGTGCATTCCCTTCCCCATCCCCTGTAATTGCCCTTTAAAAAAAAAAAAAAAAGCCTTGGGCTGAGGGCGTACAAGGTCTTTAGTGAGGTACGCAATGTACCTTACCATATCCTCCATAAGTAAACAGCATTGCCAACTCGGAAATCAAAATTTTCATTTGGACCGTCATGTGCCAAAATATTGATCAAAGGACTCTATAGAGTTTTAAGTTGCATGGATGACACGTGAGTAGGTAAGTTATTTGATTGCATGGTTGAGGTATAGGAAAAGTAAATCACTTCTAAAGATGACTCCCTCTCCCATCGAATGTAACAAAAAGCTCATAATAATGTATATATAAAGTACAATAGCTTATATTAATGATTTAAATAAATCAGTAATAATTTTTTATAATAAAAATAATAAATTTTAAATTCAAATTATGTAATATATTGATAAAATAAATGAATAGATAAAAAAATTATTTTTTACCACACAACTCGATCAAAATAATAAAATTTTTTTAATAATTACATCATATAACCATGCACTAACTATATAAAATAATACAACTCAAGAACACATGCCCAAATAAATATACAAAGAGGTGACGTGCAGTGTGTGTCATAATTGTTAATGAGAAGGAAGCCTCTGATATTAAAATGATCTCCTTTTCATTAATAGTTACAAAATGTAAATGCAAATGCACGCTAACCATTGATGATTGAAGCAATAGCGCTTTGAAGCATGGCATGCAGTGCACTTAGCTATATATTCTTTTCGTTTTTGAAATTAACTCTAAACAGTTATTTAATTCATCTTAAAAGGGTATTTTAGTTTCTAAATTGTTAAACTACACAATACACAAATTATTTGACGATGGTGGCTAGCTTTGGGGGTGAATCTCAGTTAGTGTTTTACAGCCTAACCTAATACAATCCAAACTACAAAATGTTAAATTGTTGATTCATTTGTCTTTTTTTCATTTTTGAAAGGTTAAATGTCAATTTTGGTCATCAACTTTAAAGTTTTACATAATTTTTATCCTTCAACTTTTTTATATACTTTTTTTATCCCTTAAATATGAAAAATATACTTTTTAGTCCTTCCGTAAGTTAATTCATTAAGTAACTTTTAATATATGCATATTTTTTGTCTCTCAACTTAAAATTGAGTGACTAAAAATGTACATATTTATATAAACTTAACAGTTTAACTGACAAAAGGATTAAAAAAGTGCATAAATGCATTTTTCATAATAAAGGGACCAAAAAAGTACATAAAAATTTGAGGAATGAAAATTATATAAGACCTTAAAGTTGAGGGACCAAAATTGATATTGAACCTTTTTGAAACAAACAGCATTTGATTTATTACCAAGATGATAATTTTGGAGCTGATTAGCCCTATCATTAAGGATTTAGAACCTTTTGTTGTCTTGTAAATTAAATTTAAGATTTAAATCCTGGGATCCTCTCCTAAAGAAAATTAATTTCACACTTTTTCACACCATGCTGATATAGGGTGCTTCCTTATAAGATCTAATCAATATATATAGAAAAGCTAATGCTGTTGCAGACCGGCTGGTGAAACCACCAGCAATAATGCTTACAATTCCAATTTATGTTTACTACTCAGATCCAGATATATCATGATCGGATATAATTCTTGCCAGCCGTATGTTTGGAATTCAGTTTTTATTATAAGAAACCATATCCAATTAATATACCTTTAAATGTTTCTCAGAATTCTCATGTTATTTTATATTTTATCAGATTACTATTTTGTTATAAATTAACTTGTAGCATATGCATTTTCCATTTCCGTCTTGTTTTGTTGTAATGATTTTTTTCTTTTGGATTCTGTTCTTAATTGATGCAGTCAAATTGTCAACATCTGCAATGGAAATTGGGAAAGGAAAATGAATGGAACATTCTCTTAAATTAAAAATTGTATTAATTAGTATCTATTCAAAAATTAACACCTACCATTTACCCTACCAAGCCAGGCCATACCCCATGGATGCAACCAGGTAAATCTTAAGGAATTAATTAAATTTTAGAAGTTGAGACTGCGCATTCTTTTGGCTGTAGAATTGTCTTGTCGTAGAAAAGAAAGTATTTTAGAAAATTGAGTTTCTCTGCCGTTAGTAGTTTACGTAGTCCACACTATTTCATGAAGCCTTAGCTTATGTTTGGATACAAATTAATAAAAGAAAGGAAGAGAAAGGGAGGGAAAGGGAAGAGAGGAGAAGTGAAAGGAAAAAAAAAGTTGATATTAGTTTTGTTTGGATAAATGAAAGTGAAGGAGAGGAAATGATAATATTTTTATTTAATTAAATAATTTAATAAAAAATAAAATAAAGAAGAATAAAATTTTTAAAATTTATTAATTAAATAAATAGTTGAAATAAAATGTTTATATATTTTTATTTTATAAAAAAATTAAAACAAAAATAAGTTAAGTAGTGTAATCCGTTTTAATTCTTTCAAATCAAAAGAATTGAAAATGAAGGAGAAGAGAGGGCTCCGTCTCCCTTCATCTCCCTCCTCTCCATTAAAATTTTTTATCCAAACAAAAAGAGAGGCTTTCATATCCCCTCGCTCTTCTCTCCATCCCCTCCAACTTCTTTAATCCAAACAAAGCATTAAAGTATTGCAGTTCTGCCTTCTGCATAATCTAGAGCTCCTGCAAAGAATTGGGTGCAGGGTCTTGCATCTTCGTCTCTGATGTCTTTTCATGAGGAAAACAATCACTATATTCTTTATGATACACCTTTTAATATTTATTAGTTCAATTATTAAAATCTAAATTTAAAAATTTTTATTTTAAATTTAAATTTAAAAATAATAATTTTGTAATAAATGTGTTATAAAATATATTGAATGAAAAGTGTATCGATTATTATCATTTTCATAAATATCACCATCATGGTAGGAGAAGTTTCAGTAACTCTACCCACGAACAATCTCATCCATTTCGTCGATCCACTTGCGGCCAGCAAGGTTTAATTCATTTCCCAGGAGAGAACTAACCACCTTAATTCTTGAAGATGATGAGGACCAACCTTGGTTAGCAACGAAGGGCAACGTTCCTGTCAATTTGACTTTATGGTTCAGTCAATATGGTTGCTTGCTGCACGTTTTGTTTCCTTTCCCTTTATATATTAATTCCTAGAAATCAAACCAGGCGGTTGATGGGGATACTAAGGCTACCCTTACCTCAAGTTTGGTTCAAGGGGAGGGAAGAGGAGAGAGACCATTCACCTTCTATTTCCCTGTCTTTTTTTCTCATTCTCTTCTCTTATTTGATTAAATTAAAATTATAAAGAAAATTAAAGGGAAGTTTCTCCCTTCTCTTCCCTTCTCTTTTATTTCCTTCTAATTTTTATTATCTAAATAAGAAAATTTATTTCCTCCCCCTTAAACCAAACAAACCATTAGAAACTTATTAAGTGCAAAAATCTCAGATTGATAAAATTAAAAAAACAACATATGAATTCAATATAAGATGCATTAGTTCACTTATTGCAATTTGAAACCCCATTTTATATTGGGTTCTACTAACCTGTGTTTTAAGAGCAAAGATTACATTTTTAATATTAATTGATATTAAAAAATAAAATTTAATATTTATTTAATCAATTATTCAATTAAAAAAATACATATATCATTAATGATAAAATTAATGTTAATTTTTAATATTTTCTATACTAATTAATATAAAAATAAATATTAACTACACCCTTAAAATACAGATTAGATAAATCCTTAATATTTCGATCAACATATCCAATCTTTACATGACTTAATTGAATTACGAAGTTTCTTTGGATTTTGTGTATTTAGTTTTTTGTGTCTCTGTCTCTATCTCCTGTGTCTCAATGTCCATGCTAAGCAAGATTTACCTCTTTATAAACTTTCTCAAAAAAATTAAATTTGCATCAATAAGATAAAAGAGTAATTAAACTGTTGCATTAATTAAGTCACAATTCTTCGGGTGGCTGTGTACTAATTAAAAAAAAGAAAAACCTTCAAACCTCTCTAGTTGGTAAACCTTTATATATATATATATATATATATATAATTAGTTATGTATTTTTACATTTTAATATTATAATAAAATAAAACAAAAGTAACATTTTTAATTTTTTTTTTCTAATACAATTTTCAACTGACAAACTTACTCTTCTTCTCACACTTTTTGAAAGCAAAAGTTTCTCCCAACTTTTTTTATATAGAACCCATTCAATAACTTTTTATTAGCTTTTTTTATGTTATTTTTTTATCGAAAATGTAAAAACCCAACAAAATTTTAATAAAATGTCATTGTAAAATTTATAAATTGACATAGAGAAATTTAAGAGGAAAAGTTGTTGAGCGGACTCAATAAAGGGAAAAGTTTTAGGGAAGCTATTTTTTTTCAAATAAGTAGAAAAAAACCTTTATGGGTTAAATTATATCAAGAAAAATAAAGATTAAAAAACTTACTTTTACCCTTTTTTTATTGTAATATTAATATGTGAAAATATATAAATAACATTGTAGAAAAAGAAAATCTAGAGAGCTTTAGGGGAACTTTCCCCCCAACCAAACACCCCTAAAATGGTACCCCAAAACAATTTCCATTTTTTGACCATCACAAAGATTAAACTTCCAAACTTGGGTTAAGGAGAGTGTAAATACCTTTCACTTCAACAATTGGTTGCAACCCAGACACATGGTTGAGCGTGCAAAGGTTTTACCGAACACATTTTCTATTTGTTTTGTCCATGGTACTTGGGAATCTCTGGCATGATTTGGTGGTGGGATATACAAGACATTTTGTTGGATTAGAAAAGAAAAGAAAAGAAAAGAAGCATACCAGTTTGTTACTTAGATTCAAATAGAAGTGAACAAGACAAATTATAGCTTTGAATCTTAATTCTTTCATTATGTGAAACCAAACATCAAAACCACACACCAAACACACACAGCTACAGCTGAGATGTCTACAGCTGAGATGTTCATCCTTTTTCCTCCTAATTTTTACCAACATCCACAAGGACAGTACAGTTCATTGATTCGTACACGTTACAACAAATGAAATTAAAATGCTAACTTTCCTTTGTACTTGCTAAATTAATATTCTATTCCTAGTACTACAAACAAACACTGCTCTTGAAGTGCTACTTCTCAGTCTTTACACTTTTACTTATTAAACTTTAGCTGCTTTTCCTAGTCTGTGTCTCAGAATCTTGACTCCCATGTATCTGCAGATCAAAATCAACCAATACATTAAAATGACTATGTTTCTCCTCCATATTTTCCTCTAAAAAATGATGCCGGTTCTAATGAGCTAGGAGGCAATGTAGTATATTTATTAAGGTTATAAGCTTACCTGCCCATCATCAAGATTGTGCCTTGAGGATTAGTTCCTGGAGATTCATTGAGTATCGAGCCATCAACAACGCGGAGCCTCCGGATGCCAAGAACTTTGTAGTCAGGGTCTACCACCTTGCCAACATGGCACCCTCCGTGGTAGTGCCAAATTGTGATCACAGTGTCTTTGCAGAACTGCTCTAGGGACTTGGTGTCATTGGTATGCTTAGGTATGAGGTTAATATTGGCCTTGACACTTATGTTGAGCAGCTTCTCGAGAGTTGGCTTGTCGCATTTTGCGTAGTTTGTAAAGTGATCAGATTGTATGATCTTTGCAACCATACGAATCCCATCAACGCAGCGCCGCAGATCAAGTGGATGGCCAAAGTAGTTGAAGGTAACAGAAGGGTTGTCATCAACGTTGGCATTGGCCAAGCTGAGATGGCCCGTGGAAAGGGGACTGGCAATCTTCTCCAAAATGAAACCTCCCTTGAATGCTTCATATGGTAGGTCTCGTTTACGTTTGATGTAAGCTTGAATTGTTTCAGGTGTCCTTTGCCTTGGAGGAATTGTAGAAAGCTGCCCAATCTAGTTTTTTCACAAAAGAAAGAGATAAGATCAGTTCGAAAATTTATTTTGACATATAGAACCCAATCTTCAAGGTACATACTTTTCCTTTGAGCTTACCTCTGCAGACAGGATTCCATGGTGACACTGAATGCTATCTTGGGACTGCCCAAATCCACTGCTAGCTTCAATATACACACCCATCTTTGTGATGCCTACAGTCTGAATGAGTGATTGCTGGACCGGACGATTAGATGGAACAAAAACAGAGTTCATTGGATTGTCAGCCATGCCTTTCCCAACAAACTCATTGTCAAGTACAACTGACATGTTCATCTTTTCAAGCTCAGCTTTGGGTCCAACACCGCTGAGCATTAGCATTTGAGGAGTTCCAATTGCTCCACTTGATAAAATCACCTCACTCCTCTTGTTTTCTGTTAGAACAGCTTTATGCAGCCTCCCATTTTCATCTTTGAATATCACTCCTACAGCATTTGGTTGTTTTCCTGCATCAAGAACAAGCATATTATAAAATCAACAAAACTTTTCCGCACTCTGGAAATTTCAGTTTAGTTTGTTAATTACCATGTGTTTACCTCTTGTATCGAACACAACTTTTTGAACAGTGGCATAAATCAAGACAGTAAGCTTGTTGGGGTTGGCATAAGCAAGGAGCTCTGCAGCAGTATGGCGGCGACCAAACCTGTCAAAAATGGTGCCACCAATCTTGGTTCCATATATATGATCATAGGTGAATCCATTGTAGGGTGACACCCCAACCTCCAAGAGACCCTCCTTGAATGCATTCTGCCATTCTGAAAGATTAGGCCGATGAACTATTTGCTTCTCCACCCATGGATAGGACTCATTCACTAGCTTCGCATCCCATCCCACTCTCTCAATAAACCTACAAACCAAGGAAGCTTCAACATCAAGGCATTTAGAAGATTTGGGTTTGCATTCCATTTCCATAGTCTTCTCCTTTTGAAGACAAGATTTGGGTTTGCATTCCCTTGTCCATACTAGATTTAGGTTTGCATTCCACAATCAAAAAATAATATTTATTTTAGGACAAAGGAAGTAGGAGGTAGAGAGAGTAATTATTGTTGAGACAAAATTTAGAAGAAAAGATAGTATTATTGAGGTGAATTATTAAATGTGAGCTTTATCTACAAGTTAAAATGAGAAAGATAAAAAAATATATATATGTTTGCTAAAAATATAAAAGTCATGTATAATTTATTTAGGGCAAGCTTCATAAAAAAATGCTTTTATATGTATATTTTTATTTAATACTTTACCATTAGAACTATATTAAATTATAAAATATTATTATATTATGATAATTTCTGAATGGAGGCCCTCACCTTTTTTCAGGGTCTTATTTAATTTAATTATTAATATTTTACAATTTCATAAAATTTCAAACTGTAATTTTATTTGATAATATTTCTTAATACTTTATTTTAAATTTTTTATATCCCTTTATTATTTTAAAATATACAAAAGATTAATTAAAATAAAAATTAAATATATAAAATATATTTGATATATTTTTAAAATATCAAAAGGCTAAAAAATCAACAATTGCAATTATAAGTCAACATTATCAAACTACAAAATAGTTTTTGCTAGAGTGGGAATGGGGATTGGGAAGGGGACCCTGCGCATCGAACCCATGACGCAAGGGAGTGCCTCACTTATATATGAAGAGCGACATGCCACTTAATTTCAACGTCGGGATTAGAAAAAGACAATGGATGCAGTGATAAGACCAAGGAGGTGGTAGCATTTACGCCATTGAAATTAAAGCTAGACTTTGTTTCTTGAAGAAAGTGGGCTCAAACCAATCACGTTAATAAAGAGGAGAAGAGTCACAACAAAGGAGTTTGTGGTTTACACAATCCAATTTAATGCAGCCTATATCTCCACGTGATTAGGCCAACAACTATGTCCTCTAGACAAACAGCCACCGCTATATTAACAGCTTATGGTAAGCATTAATTCATCTCCTTTGTATGAGTGACAAAAAACGAAATGTATACTGATAAAAACTAGGACAACCGCAAACACATATTTCACGCATAAATCAATTTTAAACAACCATTTTCCAAATTATCAGATATAGACGTAATCTCTAGTTTCATCAATTGGATGTTGACGTGATAAGTACTGATTACCTTGTTAAGAATTTAATTTTAGGTCAAATTTAAAACTTCGTATTAACTAAATTTAGAATTAAAATGTCCTCATAATCTAACAACATCAATCATTTGATTAAACTAAAAAATATATAGATATATTTACTATCAAAAGTTTAATTAAATTAGTATCCATTAATAGAAAATTTTTTATTTAAAAATTTTCAATTGAAATTAAAATAAAAATATAATAATAATAATAATAATAATAATAATAAAAATAAAGAGAGAGAAGAAGAAGTTGCGCTAGCTTCAAAACAAAGAGATGCTAAGCAGTGAAGATTCATACTCCGGGTTTGCTCTGGTGTAGAAGCCAGCATTGATGCAAGTGCCACCACCAAGAACTCTTGCTCTGGCATTAAGGACACCATCTGTGGAAACAAAGGCTTGGGAAGCAGAACTTGGTGAAGTGTCTGCCAAGGCAATGTGGAAGTTCCTCAGAAAGGAAACGTTTGCATTGGAGAAGGGGACACCACCTCTCTCTAGAAGTAAAACACTGAAATTTTGAGAGAGTGTGGCAGCTAAGGGGCAGCCTGCTGTGCCACCTCCCACAATTATGTAGTCATAGGCTTTTTCACCACCATTTGCAGGGAATGAAGTAGAGGAAAAAAATGAACTTGCCCTCTTGATGAATGGGTACCTGTATGGGTACGAGTATTTTATCCCTGCATTGCATTGCGAACATCATTCATTTCAAGTCATCAGCTGAAATCTACTAACCGATCATTGACGAATTAAAACACCAAAGATCCCATTTAACCAAGAGAATTGGGAAATGAATTGAAGAAATTAACTCTAACAGGTGGAGCTAGTTTTGACTCTGTAGACAAGATGGTTTGCAAATACCAATGAGATTAGTTGCGTTAGAGATCCAAAATTTATAGACCCATGTTGCTAAAAATGAGAAAGAATGAAGAGGTAGCAAAAAGATTGAACCTTGGGAAGAAGAGAGTGTGGAGAGCCATAAAATAAACCCCAGAAAGAGTTTCAGTACTACAAGAGAAGCCATTGAGGACCACTGCAAGCCACCCACAGAAGGAACACAAAGGCTGCTTGTTTCTTCCCAAACCAACAATGTGGCTGGCACTGGATGGCCTAGATATGTGTGTTAACAATCCTAATGCTACATTTAACACTTAGGAGAATAGAATTTAGAAGCAGTAGCAGTATATGTAACACGAGAGATTGAAATGAAATCAAGAAGAAAAGGAAAGAAAATCCCAACAAAGAACTGCAGCAGTTATGAAAGCTATTTAAGATCGTTGAAATTAGGACTGGTAAAACATTAATGGTGATATGAATGCACACGGTAGGAGCAGAATTGAGGGCCGTTGGATTAAATGTTTCGTGATTTAAGTTTGATCTTGTCCCTCCAACTTGCACATGGCCAGCTCATGCACGTGTCTTGTTTACCTAAAAGCTACTGTTGCCATCCGCTTCAAGTTAAGAACAAAAATGATCTAATTAATCAAGATTAATTACCATCTGTGTGAAAACTGACGCTGTGAGTAAAGTGGTTTTAGTTATTTTTGTAAGGTTTATATCGTCCTTTCAAAGGTAATGGTTCAAACCGACTTTATGATTAAAATATTCAAAAAAAAAAAAATTACCATCTGTGTGTAAATCAGTTGAAAAGTTTTGTTTACCCAAAGCTACATTAGTGCATACGGTTGCAGCTGGTGCTTCTGTAGGGGGGTGAAGTGAAAATTTTAATTAAGATACCATGTGTGAGCAAATCATTGAAGAAGAATTTTGTTTTAAATTTTTGGACAGCAAAACTAAAATTAATAAATCTGCCCCCACATGCAGGGGCGTTGAGCCCAGTAATATCTTTCCATTTCCCTTCTTCAATTTTCCTTAATTCTAAGTTCCAAACAAGCTTCAAGTTTCTTTAGATTTGTAAAATCAAACCATTTTATTTCTTTTTTAATTTCTTTTTTCCTGAACCCAATTTTGATTGTATTTCACTATAATTCATTATGGTACTGCATTATTCATTAGCTAAGTAGCTAACCCACAACACTGAACTTTTTTAAATTTACACGTCAAATAATTGTGCACATTTAGTAGCATAGAGCAATAGGGATGGGTACCGTTCGGTTTTAGTTGTAATCAAACTTAAATTATATATTAGTTAATTGAAGTTCTGGATTTAGATTTTAAATTTTAGTAATTATTAATCAAACTAAAAAATAAGAGTTTTATTAGTTTGGTTATATTTTTAAGAGTAACCATTTAGATCAATTTTGGTTTTAATTAAAAAATTATTTTTATATTATTTTAAATATTTTTTGAGTTCGTTAATTATTATTTTATTAATTTTAATTACTAAAAAATTAAAAGTTATTCAAATAAATAAATAATTTAGTGAAAAGTGATTAGAAAATTTTTTAAAAAATTTAGAAATCATTAAAAAATTTATATAAAAGATTTTTTATCTAAATTTTTCTATTGAACTCACCTTAGTTATCAAATTTTTAATTTTAAAATTTAGTAATCAAAATCAAAATCATTTAAAATTAATTCAATTTGATTTTTAATTAAACATATCAATTATGATTTTATCAATTTTTAAAATGTTTTTTTTGGCAGATTTGTTGACTCACCCCTTTAAGCAATTAAGGAGCTGTAGTTTGTAGGGCAGAGGCAGACCTATTAAATTCAGCTGCTAAGCCCACGATCTAATATGTCTTTCACGGAGCATTTGACAGCTATCATAAACCCCACTGCTTGCTTTCGTCTTCACAGCTTGATCGAGAGTATCCATTCAATGGTCCAGGCAACTAGACATTAATAAACAAGCAGCAACATATCCAAGCTGTAAAAATATAATTGTAAACTGTGTTACCAATTATGGAAAATAATGGAACAGCCTCTAAAATTCATTTTTTTAAAATTTTTTTTCTACCTGACTTACCATATAAACCGGCAAGAATTTAATGCATTCATTGATGTTTAATCAAAATTATAACAACGACAAAAAAGTAAAAGGTAGAGGCAACATACTGATGGTTGAGAAGTGAGATACCTGGTGGTGGCTTTTAATACTCAAATAAATTAATTCAAATTTTAAAATTTTAATACGTATAGAAAAGTTGAAATTTTAATTTAAAAATTTTTTGTCTACATATTAAGTAAGTAAAGAGAGATTAAAGAAAAATAGAAAGATTATTATATTTTATATAATCCAACATTAATATACTAAGTAATAGACTTGATAATAATTTTTTTAATACGTCAAATAATATATTATATAAAAAAATAATTTTTAAAAATGTTTTTACCTATCATAAAATTTAAATATAAAACCTTCAATATAAAAAAAAAAAAAATAAGGGTCAATAATGTAACTACTGCAATGCACCTCAACGACAACATAATTGGCAATCATTCCTGAAGTTCACCTGCAGCATGTCTACCGCGAAGCCAATGCTGTTGCGGACCTTTTGGCTAAGATGGTAACTACTTTAGCTTTCTCTTTTGTTGTCTTGAAACAATGTCCTACTTCCATTACCTATTTTCAAAAAAAAAAGGAAACAATGTCCTACTGATATGTGTAATATGAATTATATCTTGGTGTACTGGGGAACTCGATTCCCAAGGAACATTCTTCTCTAATGCTATTCCCATCTTTTTATACCTAAAAAAAAAAACAACATAATTGGCAACGGTTTAGCCACGTCTTACTATCTTATTATAAACTTTTGTTCACTAGTACTTAGTATATTTCTATAAAAGATCAAGGTCCTATAAAAGATCAAGGTCCTAAAAGCTTGAATGGAACCGCACTTGGTTTTCGAGTCTAGTGATGTCAGGTTATGTTTAAATGTATTTTTTTATTTTTAGGGTAACAATTTAAATTTAATTTCTTATGAATTTGTTGAAAAAAGAAAAAAAAAATCTTGAATGGAACCGAATGGCTTATCCATTGCCTATTTTCAAAAAAAGACAAAAAAAAAAAAAGAACCGAATGGCTTAAATTCCTCATTAATTCTACTGCAAATTTCGGTCCATGCAAGTAGGGCCATTCTCCAAAGAAAATGACTTGCAGTTAATTTTGATGGTAACCAAACAGAACAAATAAATTTTTCTGCATTCGATAATTTGATGTCCAATTTTTTTTTTTTTCCTCAATAATTTAAACATAGAAAGAAGTGGAACTTGGATATGCACATTCCCACCGAATAACATTATTTTTAATTTAGTGGGATCATTTTTATGAGTTATTATTTTGAGTCTTCTAGATTTTCTTTCTCATACGCCTTTATCTCCTCCTCAAGTGTAATCCTGTTAAAAAAAAATAGTGAATCACGAAAATCAAGAGTTTTTAATATTTAAAATGTTAAGATTTTTATAATATTATTTAAATATTTTTAATAAATTTTTTTATATGTTAATTTATTAAAAATATTTAAATATCAATAATGATTTAATTAAATTAATATTTATTAACTTAAAATTTTTAATTTAAAATTAAAATTAAAATTTCAAACCTTTATATTATTAAATAATTAATCTTAATATATAAAAAATTTAAAAAAATTTAAATAATTTTATAAAAAAAACTTGACATTTTAATTGTTAAAACATTATGATTTTTCACCAATTCAAAAATATTTATATAATTTTATAAAAAAAACTTGACCATTTTAATTGTTAAAACATTATGATTTTTCATCAATTCAAAATAGTTATAAAAAGAAACTATTAAATGATTAAATAAGGCATTGTACCAAAAACACCGACGACACCTTGCTCAGCTTAGAGAGGTAAAAGAACAGAAACGCAGCTTCCTACAAAACAGGTTTTATGTCCACTACCCCTTCACAATCATCAAACAAGTATGGGGAAAGTTCAAAGAGTACAAGATGGAGATTTTTTTTTTTTTTTTTAAAAAGTCATTAAATAAATAATTTGTGTTTTGCACAAAAATGAGAACTCATTACAATACTCACCACACAAAATCGGTCACAAACTGGCATAAACTCAACCCAAAGCCATGGTAATAGCATGTAGGAATCCCTCATGGATTATGAAACAAACAAATAAGGTTAAACCCTAGACTGATATATAAGAGGCTATTCAATTGGACTCTTTTACTAGAAACCTGTGGGCCGTATGCGGCATCTTGCACAAAAATCAATGCCTTCAAGAGACGTAACTCTCACGAGCTTGTGGGAATCAAATTTTGTGGACCATAAACTTAAGACACCCTAACCATAAATGCAAGAAGCAATCAAGCAGATCAGAAAGAGCAAAAAATGGAATGCTTTGTTAAAGCATCTCAGGTCGCGTTATGGCTAATCGTCTTTGGAGAGACTTGAGTATCCAGTATCATTTTCGGATGAATTTACTGTAGATGAAGCAATTGATGACAAATCACTTCTGCTTCCATGTTTGGAGCTCTTTGTTGCTGGGTTTCTCTGAGGAGCATTAGTAGCAGGATTTGCTCCCTCTTCTGCTAGTTTTTTGAGCAGATTCATAATCGTGGGAAGGAACTTAGTTGACAAGGAAATGAGCCCAGGAAGCTGCAACCACAGAAAATCACAGATTAGGGATTTAGTGGTCTTTAACAAAAATAGAGTTTCAGAGAATAGGCATTGAATGGTCTTTAACAGGTAACATAAAATAGTAATCGCAAGGATACTTAAGATGAGACTGATTTGATAGTAGTACCTAACGGATCTCCTTTGTTTGTTGTTTTAAAAATATAATATATATTGCTAATTAAAAGGTGCTTAAGTAAAATAAAGGATTTGAAAATCATGTTCACTCACAGCGCCATTTTGGAATTCACCCGAAATGTCTAGCTGCACCCACAGGGCCTTGACCAGTAGATAACCTATAAAGATAAGAAGCAGATATAAAGGGTTCCTGCCAAGAAGATACACCAACACAAGTTAATACCAGACACGACAGAAAGTTAAGTTTATGTATTGAAACCAAATTTAATACACCTATATACGGCGGGTATAATGTACCTGAGAAGTGTCATAAATTCATTGAATCCCAGGACAATCAATGCAAGAATTGCCCATGGAGGTGGTAACCAGTTGTTATTGCGTCTGTTGGCTTCCTGAAAGTTGAAAAAGAAAGCAAAACCATTAGACACAGTTATACTTGGGATTGGTAATGATTGAGATGCATACATCTAATGATGGGCTATCAAAGAGAGGATAGCCCTCCCCTTTTCCCAAATCCCTGCCCACCTGACTAAAAATTCAAAACTCAGACTTTCAAGTTGGAGGCTCAAGTTCTTAACCAATTGGGCCACCCTGTTAGGGGCGAGATGCATACATGATGTAGGCTTTTCACATGTTTAACGGAAGCAAGGTAGCTTATTCAGTTATTCTAAATTCCAGAGAAAAGGACACCACATTCTAATAAGTAATATTAGATAATGTGCATGCCTGATCAGGAGAAAACAGCACAAACTTGACTTATTGGACCACATTTCAACCTATGAATCTTCAAATAAATATCATATAAAAAAAAATCCTTGAAAGAAAAAGCAAGGCTTTATATGTGAATGGGTTACCCATAACAGTGGCAAAGAAACCAACTCTGTTTACTACTAAAAAGAAGCAATTGTTTGATAATCTCATGGTGAAAAAAGCATGAGATAGAAAAACAAATGTGAGTATCAATGCCAAACATGCTAATGGAGATATTTTTACTTCTAGCTGATAGATAATTAAAAGAAACCTAAACACTTCAAGTGCACATTGTCTGACCTTAAAATATTCCATATTAGTGTGTTCAATGTTTTTTGCATCCACATGGGTTTCTACTTAATGAGGCAGCATGCTTGATCCTTCCTTTTACAGGCACACAGATTGTGCCAGCAAGAACCTAGATTTCATCTCCAGGGTTGATTTGTAGTTAAGAAATATGGTATGCAAAACCCAAAATTTTCTTAATGGATGGTAAAATCTGCTCTGAGGTTAAACCCATACTAGAAATAGTGATATGCCAAGCACATGCAACAAAATTTTGTTTCTAGTTGACTTGATTCCAAACCCAGCTCAGTTTCATTCTTTTCAAACAATTCTAATATAGATCCTACCATTCCCTCAATTGGATGGTAGATGGTAGACCACACTCTAGATTAAAGACCTAGGTAATAATCCCCACAGTCAGTGCCTTATAAAGAATGAACAAATCACCATCTGAAGAAAAGATGGATACTGAAAATTTGAGCTTCCCTGAAAGAGCTGATACAGATTGCATTCTTCATGCTAAATTTCATATGAACACTTGGCTTTATTTTCTAATTAACATTAAATGCCATATTCACCAAATTATAACACCTAATATCCCTGCACTGAAATCTTACGATGAGCAGACTCATAAGAATATAGATAATTATGGCCTCTCATGTTGGAGCTAGAAAAATGGGGAAAGGAAATAAAAAGAATCTTCATAATCAAATAAGTGAAATATCATGCCTGAGCAGAAATGGCCTGAGTGACACTGTACTCTGTCTCTGCCTTGAATTGTCTCCACAAAGACTTGCACTGGAAAGGTGTGATCAATGTTTTTGAGGGTGGAACCTGTTTTAAAAGTGCCATAAGAACTAATCATGTTTTCAGGAAAAGAAGGCCTTGAAAATAGTTCAAAATATGTGTGCATTCATGTGTGACGAATCCTATGGTTTTTCTGCCTACTATATCCATGAGGCAAATACTGATAAAATTCACATTTGTAATAAATAATAATTTCTTTGATTTGATTAAAGCCATTTGGAAGCTTGAACATGTTGACATAACCTGCATACTGTATTCTCATTAAATCAAACATGGTTTCTCTGATGATAAGAAAATCTGTCCAAGCATGCATACAAAATTCGTAAACAATATCTCATTCACCTGCTCCCAAGTGCTTGCGGCCAGTGGATCAGTAGTTGTAATGCTCTTATCAGCAGCATTATTCTTGGTATCTACCAGGGCAAGGGATAGTATATTCTCAATATTATCACCAGCATCATCCAAGCGGATTACAGCCATAACAGAGAGCAACTTCAAGGACTGCAAAGGTTAATTCAGGAAATTAGAAGAGAACAGACCACAGTACAACACTAAGATTCACCCAACAATAACACATAAACAAAGTCATACTGCACTGCGGGCTGTTTTAGTGATGGCTCGAATGTCTTCCTTCCCAGTCCAAACACGTGGCATTGAATCCGAATCATGGCTAAACAGCATCGAAAACCTAAATGCAAATTCACAGTCAATTTCTGTACCATAAAATATAAACAAAGAAAAAAACACAAGGCAAATACGGAAATGAACTATCACCTATCCTTCATTCTGATCAGGACTCTTCCAGCTTCTTCCTTTGCTTTTCCTTCAACCACACCCCTTGCATGATCCTTCAGACTTGTTAGCATCTTGTCTTTTGTTTGTTCATCCAAGTTGAAACCAGAAAGTGCACTGGAAAGCCCAGAGACAGCTGATTCAGTTTCACGCAAAAGTAGTTTCCTTATTGCTGGCCAGGTCTCTTTATTAGCTTCATCTAGAATCGCTTCAACTGGTGCTGATAGTGCATCATTCAGTTTTGCCTGCAAATGCACCATCATTATCAATACGATTTTGTGTTCTTAGTTTACACTTAAATATCTTTCATGTGTATGGTATCCTGACACATCCCATCTATATGCAGCAGATATATCAAGCACAAAAAATAAGATTAATAACATTAGAAGATTTTATAGAAAAAACTTTATTGAAAATAATATGTCATTTCCATTTTGACTGCAATATAGGAACACTCAATACTCTAAAGAAGTGCATATGACTGTTCGTTGTAACATCAGTATTATCATTTATTTACTTTTAAGTCTAATGTTATCAGTGTAAAAAATGTATAAGAATAAGTAAGCACAAATTATCCACACACAACATGAAAGTGCTCACTTCAGTCCATGATTCTTATTTTTTATCAATCTTGATTAAATTCCTTAACCCATATCCAAATGGTACAAAAATTCTTGAAAAAAAATTTGTGAAGCCTATTTTATCCCTGACTTCATAATATTCCTCTGATAATTAAGGAGTACCAAACAGGTTAAATTCATAAAATTGTCAATAAACATGACAAAGATTGCATAGTTAATATAAAAAAGATATGTGAGTTTCCACACCTCATATGATGAAGTAAGTTCTAAAAGCTTGGCAGCACGGACAGAAGCAACGTGTGCATCTATATCACGACGAAGCTTATCCCTTGCTTTAGATGAATCCCAGTTTGCCAGTTCAACAATAGCATCTGCAAGAAAGATACAACAGTAAAAACCAAAAACTGTTTTCATAATTTCTTTGGTCCATTTTATTCTGTTAGCCTTCAATCTTGTATGTTTTAAGTTTTATTCTGAATGCATTTGTTTATATTTCAGTCTAGCTACATGATGGCATAATGATATTCGACTGCACCTGCGCTTTTTTCATCAAACAAAGCCATATGATTTTCAGTGCAACTACAAGCAGCCACAGAAAATGCTTCCCCTCCATTCAAAGCTTTATCAAATGCCTCCTTGAATTTATCAAAAGTTCCAGATCTTATATGTCCTACCATGGACTGGTATGCCAGTTGGACAAGCTGGCTCAAAAGAAGAAAAATAATGAAGCAGGGGATGTATCAATATAACATGAACAGGTATGCTAATAAAAGGTTGCACAATAATATAGTAGATCAATGTTACTTGCAGCAGTTTTTCTTCAAGCTGCTTTCGTTTTGAAGATCTGACACCTTCATCAAAATACGTTGCTTCTACATCATACCTAAAATTTAGAATAAAATAAAAATCTTGGTGAAATGCTACTTCCAAGGAAAATATTCAAGGAATAACATGAATCTCAATTTTATCATCCCAAATCACAATGACAGCTATAAAGCCCATCAGTAAGAAACTTTTCAACTTGGAACAAAGCAACATCAACTCATGCTATCTATTAGGCAGAGAGCATTTTGGTACTTTTTGAAGTTCTATCGACAATAATAAAATAGTGCTCTTAATTGCTCAAATCTTCAGACTATTGAGCTAGGTTTAATTAAAATAACAATACACTTACTCTGATAAGGTGGTGTTGAGAATTGAACTGAGCTTCTTCCCAAACCCAGCAACTGGTTCGGACTTTACAGTCTCTTCCAACTGACACCAATCCTGTTATTTGAAGCAATTTGACCAGATTAAGTGTTTATAGAAGTTTGGTGTAAAGGTGGCCCATATTATTTACGGTATCTTCCAGTTAAGTAGAAATTTGATGCGTGCATGGGTGAACTTATGAGTGGAATGGTATGCATGCCAATGTACCTCGTTTTTAGTGAAAGCAGCATATTTTTCATTAGCAATTTCTTCACAACGTACAGTAGCCACCATGACCTAAAAACAAATAAAACATGGTTGAGAGCAAAATCTACAAATCTGCTATGTTATAAATGGCCCGTCATTTTAATTTTAAGAAGTTACCTTGTGTGCTGGAAGGTCAAGGTCCTTATTCTCCTTGATGACTTTCCAGATTTGCTGTGCACTAAATGAAAATCCTGAAGCAGGTACAACTCCTCTTCTGTCTCCAGCAAGCCCACCAGGCGCAATGGAGTGGTGGAATCGTTGCCTCAAATTAGCAACCTTCATTAATAACAACAGAATCAGATAGGATGCACATGTATATGGCAGCAAAGTCCAGCACCATGGGCCAACAAATAGGCAAAGACCTAAAGCTCAGATGTTGAAGGTGCATTTAAAAAAAAAAAGAAAAAAGAAAAAAAGAAAGAAAGAAAAATGATCCCAATGTCCACACATTGTGAGAAATGAACTAATTGGATAAAATTTGAAGTTACCATCTAAATTGAGATGTAATCTGACAACTCTACTCTACAAGTAGACATTTCATAAACAAAGATTCTTCTTCATATCCTTTCAAACAAACTTCTTGATAAACGAACAGTAACAATATTAATTTTCATTAGTAAATTTTATGAACAAAGGATAATATAATATCATGTTTGAATATCCTTATGAGAGACAGATAAAGATGTGGATACCTGCTCTCTGAATTGATCTTCTTTCTCTTCAAAACTAGAAAGTGCAACAACTTCAACCTGACCATAAAATTAGCTGTAACAGTCAGAAATAGAAAAATATTGACAGAAGCTTATGATGCAAAAAGTTTGACGTCTTACATTGAAAAATTCACTTAGTGGAGTTTCCCTGTGGGCTTCAGGCTTAGGAACCGAGTCCCATATCTGTTGCAAAATAAAAATGGTTCAAGATAAAATGTTGCCTGATTTAATATAGGAAGAAAGGTTCCAAAAAAAAAAAATGTTAAAATTAATCGGAAAAGAACAAAACAGAGGCACCATATATAATTACCTTCTGAATGTCTTCTCTAAGAACAGGTTCTAAATTTTC